TATTATTATTATTATCTTGTGTGTTTTGTTCATTTTTCTTAAAGTATGCCTCAAAGACAAGTTTGTAAATGAGTTTAAACATGCATTATCATGATTACTTCTGTTGACTGTGATATATGGCTAAATATACTCCTGAATATATTGAAACTAGTTTAAAACTGGTACATGAAAATGACTTGGCAACAGTGAGTATAATACGAAATGCTGCCCGCTGAAGTATTAGCAGATTAACTGACCTGCCAACAATAAAAATAAAATGACCTTTCAGAAATGACCTTATGTAGTGCTGGTTTATTCAGGATTATCTTCTATTCTCTCGATGATGAACTATGGGCAGCAGATGCTTTGACTTATTTAATCTTTTGTATGAGGTTTAATTGTGTGTGTGCGTGCATGTGCATGTGCGTAAAGCTAAATAAGTGCTACACAACCTCCAACACAAACCCTATTAAGCTTCTCGCAGCAAATGTGTAATTACTATGAAGCAATTATCTGCGTTCACATTTCCCTCCATTAGAAATGGATATGCTGCATTATATCAGCGATCGCTTCCATTATGATGCTTTATGCTTATGCCGAGGTTTGATTTATTATTTATTTAAGGGAATGATTCACTCTGTGGCAGTAAAGCCCACCATGTAACTCAATATCTCCTTCTATAAGGCTTTTTTATTTATTTATTTTTGAATCGTATGGGATGTACTCTGTCTCCTGTTGCTGTTTTATTCTGCATGATAACCATAGATAGCATGTTTGCCTTCACGACTGTCCAGTGCACTTCCAGAAAGAAGGCAGTATACACTATGATGACTTTAATTGTTGTGAGGATGATTGATTGTTTTGCTCTGTAATAATACACTATACCAGAACATGTGATGCTGCAACGTTATATAAAATATATATTTTCCATGTTAATAAAAGTTTTTATGTACTAACTAGACATGATGACAACACATACAATGTCTTTTAAAACTGTATAAACTGTGACATCTCTATTAGAATGATAAGATCTAGAGCTAGTGTTAGAGTGATTCTCTAGCGTAATGTCTAAAGTGATGACAAAACAGCTAATTTTTCTCACATTTACAGATTATAAGGCTGAACAGCATGAAATGTCATCAGTATACAGAGATTTCTCAGAATTTTCCTGTTGTAACTGGGATATCACTGTAATTAACCCCACAAAAGCCAAGGCAAAGCAAACACTAGCAGATTTCTGTGGTATAAAAACAGGACTACAACATACCAAAGAGAGAGATTGACTTAGTATCAGTTACCTGTTTAATAATTAATCATTTCTCCTCTAAGGGCTTATTATTCTCTCTTTGTCGCCATCTTGTGGCAAAACATCAACCGTCTTAGCTCTGCTCAGTATGACAGGCTGATGGCCACCAACATGCAGAATCTAAAATTGTAAATATTTAAAATAGGCATCGTCTCTATAAATAAACTGCAGTTAAAATACATTCTCACCTAAATAATCCTCAAAAGATCATGACGTTGTCCAACAGCTGCAATATTTGTCAAACTGTAGTAAGTTTATCGATCTGCTGTCACTCTATATGGGTGGAGTAATACACAAGGGTGAGGAGACTGTTGGAGTGCTAATATTACGGGAATATTGCATGGTTATAAGCCAATCAGATACGAGAACCAGACAGAACTCGTGTATAAATATATATTCGTCAATTGGATTTTAATCCTCCCTCCGTTAAATGTATGCAATGTACTTTCAAAAATAAAGCTACAGTACCTTTTGGGGCAGTACTTACACTTTTGTTGGTCAAGCACAGTAAAACCTAAGCAATTCCTGCCATATAGGGGCCAAATCCTGAAATGCACCCTCTCTACTTTTATTATTTTTTTATTTATATTGCTGTTTTTTTCATATATCACTTAATCTCCTTCCTGACAATTTAAGTTAATGCAATATCTACATTTTAAATGATTAGTTTTCTTAAGATAAATGTACAAAAAAATGTATATATATATATGTATGTGTATATATATATATATATATATATATATATATATATATATATATATATATATATATATATATATATATATATATATATATATATATATATATATATATATATATATATA